ACACACACACACACACACACACACACACACACACACACACACACACACACACACACACACACACACACATATGCACGCACATGCACGCACGCACGCAAGCACGCGCGTGTGTGTGAGCGTGACTGCATGAGACACCGAATCGACATCGGATCTTTTGACCCTTCCCTTGATGTCTCGATGTTGTGAAAAAGCATTTTCTCGATTTCCCTAATCTCGAGTAGACGTACCTCGTCGATAAACTTGTTTAGGCGGGCTTGCATAAGGCGTGGCGGCGATTGTTACCACCGACGGAAGGACTGTTGCTACAGCTCTAGCTGCCGCTGCAATCTCTGGGGTTCTAATTGCAAGTGTCAACGGATGGGTCTCTTTCAGAAGTGGGGCTAAACGATATCCTCCCTTTTTCTCCTTTTACTATAAATCTAATTTCTACATTCACGCGTCTTGTTTCTTACATATTTTCTTTTCTTTTCTATTTGCTCTTCCATCCAATCCCCTTGAAAGTCTATCCCGATGATGATATCCCTGAGTGTCCTTAAGTATTTGAACGATTCTCCCATATAACTTAACTCACTCGATGTATGTGTCTCGTGGGAATTCCACAAGGATTTCAACGTTTTTAAGTTTTGTGATTTGCATTCTTGATTAAAACGAAGGCCTCGATAATACGCTTTGACATCTTTCTTTCGTGTGTTTGTTAGACTCTTTAGAGAGAGAGAGAGAGAGAGAGAGAGAGAGAGAGAGAGAGAGAGAGAAATGAATGATTCTTCAAGCTTGTGATAGCATAATTGGCAATCAGCTTGCAAAATATTACTCGCTCGGAAACTATTTACATTCTTCTACAATATCTATAGATCCAGTTTCCCAATGCAGTTTCCCAATGCAGTTTATGATATGCATACCTCTCTCACGATATTCGATGCTCGGGATCAACTGTGTTGACTAATCGACATGCTTAACGATCTTCCTTCTCTTTCTAAATCGTAGACCTCTCTAATTACAATGTAGGTAATGCGAAAATTATAATTAATTCATATTGATCAACTTTAATGCAATTTTATCAAAAGTTACATCTATATATGTGCGCGCGCATATACGTACACAAAAATTTATTAAACACAACGTTATTTTTTGTCCGATATTACATTTATTTGTATATTTTAAATATATCTTATTTTTCTTAAGATTCCCTCGATATTCTTCTCCCTAAACCCCACCTTGGATTTTCCGCCGTTCCATCTTTACCAGTGAAGGTCATCGTTAAATTGGAGCCAGAAATGCATGCTATGGCGAATGCACACTGCATTCAAAGGATCTTGATTCACACTAATCGATCATTCCTTCAGCTGCAATTCATCGGATCTCCTGGATAAAATGCGCGAGAAATAAGGATATTATATTATAAGGATATATTATATTATATTATAACTATTATTTTTCAAGTTCTATCATTTTGTTTCACTGTTTAGCAAAAGTGCAAAAAAAATTGCGAAATATTTGCAAATAAAAATATTATTCTTACAGTTAATTATTACAATAATTATTATTCTTTGTAAAAATTTTTTTATTTAATATCCTAGAATAAGTTCTGATTTCTATTTAAAATATATGTAAATGCAATATAATGGAAAATTGTTTTTATTTCGTAACAACAGTCGTGACAACAATTCCTGTTGAAATTGTTTTAAATGTAAACTCTAAATTTTAAATGGGATAACAATATAAACTATTATAAAAAATTATACGTGGAAATTAATACATTTATTTATATTGACACACGTTTCAAATAGTCTAATTTGTTTCGATTCTCTCAAATTGCGTTATTCTTTTTGATGATCCTTCCGGATGTTCACTAATTAAATTGTAAAGGATCTATGAGTATATAGTTTTATAATTAACGATGCAAATTCTAATATTTATTAAAAAATATAACTTTTTTTAGCCAAACTGAGTTAGATTCAATTCTCATGTTTTTGGAACTTCATAATCCTGCTGGATAAGATAAAAAATTGGAAAAAGTTATTGAGTGAAAAGAGATTCGCGAATTATAGAAATTACTGCCCTCTGATTGGAAATATCTCTCCGGCCATTTTCGTCAATCAGATTGTTTTTCTCAATTTGTTAGTCATTATTTCGTCAATGATTGCGAGTAATCGATAGAATAATTAAAACTGATGTAACGACAGATTTCTTCCAATCGTATGGATATGATAGAAGAAGGAATTATTGTAGTCAGAACAGAGATTTATTATTAATATGTACTTATATATATGTCTAAAACAATTGCGATTTATCTAAAAGTATACTTTACTACTAATAGTATGTATAGGTTACAGATAATCCGCAATTTATAATTTCCTTATACGGCATCTTAACTTAAACGTATTACCTACATGTATGATTATAAAGGAAATATTACAATAATATAAATGTTTATGCATTGTGTTTGAAGGTGAATGTACACATATATCGATATATCATGGAAATATAATATATATTATATATATATACGAAATGTGTGTAATTTTCTTTTATGTGCTGCTCCAGATCATTGATAATTTAATTTGTAGTTTTTTTATTTCAAAGTATACGACTTTCTTAATAGCTCATACTCAAACTAAGTAAGTATATAAATTAATGCTTTTTTCAGGTTCAGTATTAGCATAAAATAATTGACATTAAAGAATTTTATATCTTAAAGCTGTTAAGATTTTTAATTTTAAATTGTCTATATTTATTTTGATTATTTATAAAAACTATAAATTTATAAAAGACATGATTTTGAAATAATTAAATAAAAAATATGAATAAAAAGATAGTTTTTCATCTTTTGCACCTGAAAGGCAGAGATTTTGATCATCTTTAAGTCATGATGACCTCTTCAAACCGAGCAACGTCATGCTAGATACGCAGGGTCAAGTAACTGGACAATGATGTACAGTTTAACTCACAACGCGATTTTCTTGCAGCAAGGAATTGTCTAACAAATAATAAATATATTTTTTATTTATAATTTATATAAATTTATACGAGAAATAATATATTATTGCATAAAATTAATTACAATTATTCTATTCTTAAAAAATATTTCATTATTTAATTTTTTATTTTTTATAACGAAAATCAAATTTTTAACAATATAAATAATCTTTTATAAATCTAAACAATTTAGAAGTTTCTCTTCTTTGAAAAGTTTGATTTAATATCAGTTTCTTTCGTACGTTTTCAAGTCAATATTATTCAAGTTTCAAATTAAATTAAGAAATAGAATCTACATGAAATTAAATGAAGACTGAAACCTTGTGTTTCAAAAGTATTTCTAAAGTTGAATTGGATTCGTGCAAACTTTGAGTGTCTAATGAGTTATAAATTGTAAAACTTGGAAACGCGATATTTCTACATTAAAATAAATTACATTACTTTTTTTTTGCTACTAGAATCGAAAACATGTACGTAAATAATGTATCATAAATGTATGGATAATGAAAACTTTCTATTTTATTTAATTTTCTAGTTAGGGGCATATGTGTTATTGATCTATTTCAATCTAACATAATTAAATATATTAATAATTTCATTAATTAGATTTAGTAAGTGTCTCGATCTTTCTTGTTATTTACCCTTCATTTCGTTTTTTTTTTACATTCAATGTCGTTTCAACAAAAGATCAATAAGAATTAAGAACTAATGAACAACACTTTATCTAAGTTTCTCTAATTGAAGTATATATTTCTAAGACCACATCGATCACGATCTTGCGCGAGAGGAAGAGAAGAAAAGGTTAAACGAGTTAACCCCATGGAACCTCGATGACCTATGTCCTTGTCCGAGTCGACTTTATATCATAAATAATCTCTTGGTAATGCAACGGGTGTTCCGAATATGTACATTTTCAAAATATTTTACTGCGCCTTTTGACATTAGTATGTTTTCTGAAAATATATATTTGAGAGTAAAACAATATTGAATTAACAAGCTAATTCTCTTTTGCTCTAAAATGTCCCTTTATAAAGAATATCTGTTAAGTGCAGGACTGGTGTTTCAAAAAAGGTTTTATTATTTTACAGAAAATTTTTGATATTTAAAGTTGTATACATAAAGATAAAACTAAATAAAAATATCATGCTTATAGATCTAGACAATAGAACATTTTTACATTGATTTGTTTAAATTTTGTCGAAATTTGTGATTAAAGTATGTATATAATAAAATATATTATAATATATTTTATATTATATTATATGTATTATAATATATTATTATAAAGTAACCTACCGTGGAAAAGGAATTTATAAAAATTATTATAGCACTGCTATATAGATGTTTGTAATATCGTTTATATATTCGCGTTTCAATTTTTGTGACTTAAACTTATTAATTTTATTCTTTTATTAAAATAGTTAACCCAGTCTTAAGTCGCACATAATGACAAAATAAAAACTTTAAATAAGATTTTCTAACTAAATTATAAATTAATTTATGTAATGGACAGTAATGAGAGGTGATTTGTATGTATGTCAGTGATGCAATAACAACTCGATGAGTTCTTATAATTAATGGGCCAAGCTTTTCGTCACGTACGTTTATTCCATTCTGTTAGGTTCACCTAAGTCAATTGTTTTTTCTAGGACGACGTGTGTCGCAATGTCAGGACAGAAGTAATAAGTATTGTATTTATTATGTAAATGTAAAGATGATCTTACAGTCAATAATACTGATCAGTCAGTAATATTGAATCAATAATACTGGCAATATGCATTAATATTCTTAATATTTTTACAATCTTAATATTCTTACAACACAATCAGTATCATTAATACTATATTTCACTTTAATTTTACGTACATTATCTATTGCACTGTGACATACTGTGATATGGATCCCTAATCAAGCAATACTGATGCTCGAGAATTAAAATTCTGATCACTGTCAGTATTCTACGTCAATATTAACTCCACATGATCAGAAATATTATATCAGTATTTGTTAATGTTTAATGACAGTATTATTGATCGTGTAGAGTCATCTTAAGTGGATGCTGGCATCTACTTTATGGTCTTTGAGGGAAATGCTGTTTTACCGATTTACACATTTACGGTTTACAACCCATAAGTATATGGTTTATGAAATATTAATATCATTACTATTGCATCAATGTTGTATGCACATAACACGAAATTTTCATGTACTCTTTTCTCATATACTAAAGCTTCTAAGCTTATTTCTAAAAAGCACAGTATTGTTCTTTCATGTAATTTCTATCCTGGATAAGACTGGTATTTATATTATAATCTGTTTTTATTAAGATTGTTTCAAATATAATAATGTCTTAAGATGATAATGTGAATTTTTGATTGGTGAATGACATTTTAAGACTGTATTTAAGACAATTTTGAGTAAAAGAATCGGCTATAAATATACCGGCCCAAGATTCCTATTCAAGATAACTCTCTATAACTCTTAATTACAGTAATAAGTCGTTATAAAGATAGATGTCTTAAATTAAAAAAGGGATCTGTGATTATGAAATAAAATGCCGAATGTAAGGAAAGAAGTAAGCACGGCTAGGATATGAAAGAATGTAAGGAGAAAAGTTTGATAACACGATTGACGAAGGAATATCATAATATGTGGCTCATATTTTGCACATGATAGTTCAACAAAATAAGTTTTTTGCAGATTCATACTTTTTAGTTAAAGTAATTTTAATTTTAGAAAATAAATGTAGCGTAAAGTATTTCTGATTAAATGAGAAAAAGAGTATTCTGACTTAATATTTTATATTGAGAATCACATTTTTTCATGATATCGTAATACGCTTTTATGAGAGTATGTACCAGTTCTGTTTACTGAATCATGTTTATCTTGTCTGTTAATATCTTTGGTGCATATTACGTAGTCTCTCCGATGTCTCCGTACGACATTGCGTAAGTGAGATTACTATGCAAGCATGCGGCTCACAACCTTGAGAGCAAGCTACAAGAGCGAACAAGTCGTGTCTCTCTGCCTACGTCCTGACGTCATTTACTTCGAGAAGATTAGAATTTAGTGACAGCAGATGTTATTTAAAATGTGACGAAAAAGCGTGTTTAGATTATAATCAAAAGATATGATATAGTATTTCAACATCAAAAACAACATAAAACATATTTTTTACAATAAAAAGGGAATTGTTCTTTTTTTA